GGGAACAGCGGCCGGCCCCAGCGAGCCCCGAACGCCCGGCTCCGGCCCGACCAGCGCCCCGGCCCTGCGCCTTGGCCCCGTGTCCCCGGTCCACATGGACGCGACGCTGAAGCGCGACCGCCCGGAGGAGCCCGGAGAGCTTCGTCCGGCGGCGCGCGACGCGGAGAAGGAGGAGGACGGCATGGAACCGGCGCTGGAGGACGAGGAGGAGGTGGACCCCCGCATCCAGGTAGGCGTGCGGGGCGGTGTCTGCGCCCTCGGCTTGCGCGCTTGCAGGCTGCGCGCTCCGCCGGGCGGGCGCGGGGTCCCGGGGCGACCCCAGGGGTTCGGGGTGGCCGGTCCCGGGGTGGGGGGCTGCAGTTCTCGTTGCGCGCGGCCTGACTGCTTATTGCGGGGACCCCGCAGGCACCGGGAGGTGTGGGGTCGGCGCAGCAGCCCGCAGCCCGGGTGGATACAAAAGGAAAAAAGGGGGCGGGGGCGTCAGGCCGGTATTGGGGTGCCCTTGGCCAGTCCAGGCTGGCGAGTGGTAGGAATGAGAGGAGTGAACACGAAGGAGGGCGTCGAGGGGGGGCGGAAGGCCAGATGGATATCGGGGTGCCCTTGGCCAGGTTGGCAGTGACCAGGGGAGCCGGAAAGGAAGGCCGGGCTCGGTGGGCGTTGTCGCCCCCCACCCCTGCGACCGGCAACGTGGGCAGCACGGGATCCCGGGCCAGAACCCCCACCTGGCATAGGTGCGCAGCCTGATCTCCTTCCTCCTTCCTGAATTCATTGTTAACCACCTGAGGGGACTGATTGTCATCATGGCACCGTCCTCCCCAGCCCCCCAACACCCGGGCCTGAAATGGGCTCACACCCTGCGTGTCTCATCGTGGGGTCCAGTGCGATCTGAAACCCGGGTAACCAATGCGCAGAGCTGACGCGAGCGGCCCGTCCCTGTGCACCTCCATTTCCTAGAAGGGCCATTTGGAAACAATCTTCTGGCCAGGGTCTGTGAGGACAGCTTAACCTGCTCACCCCTTGAGCAAACACCCAGCAAATCTCTTCTCCAGGACCTGATTTTTACCCTTTCCATAAATCTTTCTTCCCTTTTAATATATATTCCTTTTATACATGCTCCGGCAGTATCTGGAGCCCTAATTGGTTTTTCAGTGCACAAATCAATTAAAACCTCATTAACTCCGTGGCTGGGGTTTAAATGAATTGTTTGGGCAGATTATCAAGATCAACATCAGATGGGAAAAAACCTCTTTGCGTCTGTCCGGAATGAAGCTATTCATGGACATCCCGGGTTTGGGCTAAATCTTGTCCTTGCTGGAGAATTCCATTCAGCAGGTCCTTTGTTTGTGGTGGGAAGACCAGCCCACTTCAGATGGGGCACTTTTCACCAATGTGGACTGTAAATGTTTATTTAAAGGATTTAATTTAAAGCTCATTTAGAGAGGGGAGGGGGAAGCTAGGAAGGTGGAATAATTGGCAGTTTTTGGGGAAATTTTTTTTAATCTTTATAGACAACACGGAAGCACTTACGAGCTAAGGACAGCAGGTTGTGATTCATTTACATCTTGGCAGGGTTTATACTCCTTGCTTGGGAGCTCGGGTGGGCTGGTGGGGAAAGAGCTGTGCTGCCAGCCCAAAGTCAAGCAGTTCAAATCCACCAACTGCTCGACGGGAGAAAGAGGAAAGTCTCCTCTCGTGTGATTGACAGCCTCAGAAAACCTGCTGGAGCATCAGCTAGGAGTTGGGTCTGACCATGGCACAACAGAAGCTGCATACTTTTCGTTAGGCTTGTATGATTTTTCACTAATTTATTTGCTTGTTTGCTTGTTTTCCGCAAAGTTCTTCCTTCTAAGCAGAGGTAATTGGTATGAATCTGTAGATAGGTGAGCTTACCAGGAAGCACCTACCTAGAATACATAATCTTATCAGAAAAGAGAGCTTTTCTACGCCCATCTGCCTTCTCCAGAGAGACACCATCAAGATAAGGATTTCAGAACCTCAGGCATCCCTTTGCTACTGCATGTCAAAATCATCTGCTTTCCTTGAAGATAACCTTTCCCCCCTCTTTGCCCTACAAGTTACACAAGGGTGCTTGTTCAGGTTATGGGTTGAGTTCTGTTGCAAACAAAGGCCAGAGGGATCCCTAATGTAATTTTTTTCTCTCCTCCCTCTTAACATCAGGGAGAGCTGGAGAAGCTGAATCAGTCCACTGATGACATCAACAGACGGGAGACGGAACTTGAGGTACGGAGCGCAGGCCCTCCTGGAGGGGCCGCAGCCATACTGACCCCTGGCCAGTTGGTTGTTGTCTTCACTGCGGGAGGCCTGTCCCTGGGAGTGGTTGAGCAACAGTCACGCTGTCTGACTGATGATGTGCAGAGCTGATCCCAACTCGTGGGCCAAATGCATGCGGATCCAATTTCACATGTTTTTCATTTTTGGACGCTCCATGGGGCCACAGCAAGGGCTTAAGACCTGCATTTAATGTGTCTGTGGATGAGCTGAAGGGACTTGACACAGTCAGCTGAAACTCTAGTGCATGAGCTCACGAGAATCCCAGACACTTCAGGGAGCTTCCTTCATCTCTAGTGAGATCCACTTGGTAAAATTCTGCAGACTTTTATGGTTTGGTTTTCTTTTTTCTTCAGAATTTCTTGTCCTAATAATTCACTCTCTCCCCACCATTTCCCAGCTCAGTTCATTGTTTCTTTGTGTCTGCAATGTAATTGTCTCAATGGTAAAGGAAAGCTGTTTAGATGGAGAAGGGTCTTCCTGCTGGGAAAATCTTGAGAGGTGAGCTAGATCTGAATTTCTTGCACATTTTCCAACCTCCGGGACTGCAGCCTCCAATATGGATTGAGGCTCAATGTCAAGAAGACAAAGATTCTCACCACTGGACCAATTAGCAGCATCAGGATGAATGGTGAAGAGCTTGAGATTGTTCACAGCTTTAGTTTGCTTGGCTCCACGGTCAACACTCTTGGCACCAGCAGCCAGGAAATTAAAAGGCGCATTGCCATGGGAAAGTCTGCTGTTAGGAACCTCTCCAGAGTACTGAAGAGCAATGGTGTCTCCCTGGAGACTAAGGAGCATTTGATACAGGCCATGATCTTCGCAATCACTTGTTATGCATCAGAGAGTTAGACAATGACCAAGGAGGATAGAAGGAGAATTGATGCCTTTGAGCTGTGGTGCTGGAGAAGAGTATTGAGAATACCATGGACTGCTAGGAAAACAAACAGATTCATCCTGGAAAGGGTTAAACCGGGTGGCTCCTTGGAGGCAAGGATTCTGAGGCTCCGTCTAACATACTTTGGACATGTTGTGAGGGGAGACCGGTCCTTGGAGGAGGACATCATGCTTGGGAGGGTGGATGGACAGCGCAGGAGAGGAAGGCCCTCTATGAGGTGGATTGATTCAGTGACTGGGATAATTGGGATGGGAGTGTCAGAGACAGTGCGATTGGCACAGGACAGAGCGGAGTTTAGGGCTGTTGTACATAGGGTCGCTATGAGTCGCAAGTGGCTCGATGGCACATAACAACAAACAACATTTCCAACCTCAGTGTACATAGGTGCGGCTTCTCCACAGCTCCCCTGTTGTGGGCTTGGTTCTACCGTCCTTTAGCACATGTGACCCTCTCCAGTGGGGCCTGTGAAAGCTGGACTCAGTCTGGGACCCTGGTTCCCCAGGCCTCTCTGAGGCTCCGCCTCGGGCCAGCACAGAGCTGCTTTCCTCATGCTTTCTGCTGATGGGAGAGACCTGCACTCTTGTCCTCTGACAGGTTTCCACTTTCCGCGGATTCTACTGCTTCTCTAAGAGCCTGGGAAAGGCTTACTGAGCTGTAGGCATGCAGGGAATGTTGGGAGAACTTGTTTGGTTGTATTGTTTTTTTTAAAATTGATTTTCATTCTGTAAAATGAATGTTGGCATTGTGGAGACAACCGTGTCTGATCTCTATTAAACTCCACAGAAGGGAACTGTCCTCGTCAACAACGTCCAAAAAGAATTCCTTTAAGGTCAGATATGGTCTCCCAAACTCCTGCACCCATTTCTACTAATTCTGATAGCAATTTTACTGCTCCACATGGTCCAAAATCTAATGCACTGACAACACAAGTTTCATGGAACCGTACTAACCTGTATGGTGTGTACTGGGGAGGTTAAGAGGCTGTAGGTCATTCGGGTCGGCAGCGGGATGCAATCCCTTGGTCCTTCAGCCTCATGGCTTTGGTCAGTGGTACAGAGGTCCCTTAGTCCTGCCAGGTATGGGTGAAGACTGTGACGCGGGCTCCGCAGGGCAGCGGTCTCAGTCAGCTCTGGTCCAGTCCTGGCTCTGGTTCTCTGCGGAGGATGCTCTTATGGAGATCCAGGTCTGGCTGGTGCAGGCATCTCTAGCCCCGAAAAATACATGCTGCTTCCTCTTCCTTGACGGTATTGAGATTCCCGCTGAAATGGCTTGATTTAAACCTAGTGGAACAGTGGGACTAGCCAATCTCCTTGTGGATAAACTAACACACCCTGTTTGTATGATCCTGTCTCTAGCTGTGTGACAAAGTCAGTCAATGGCTCAGAGAGTCAGTTTGAACAATAGCCCTTGGACGTCACACATGCATTCATTCACTAAATACATTCATTAATGGTTTATAACACCAGTTACAACTGACCACTGTCATTTATTACAGCCTCGCCTCTATCCTCCCGCTGCCTGGGCCTTCCCTTCACCTACCCATCCGTCAATTAACTTGGCCTCCCTTTCCCCTCCCCCTCTGTTACCTTCCACGGTGTTTCTGAGTGTCAGTGTTTCTTCAGTTGTCAGTCACGCATACCGTGTTCCCTAAGGTTCATTACAGCTCACGCAGTGCCTGATTGTCCTTTGACCTTGTCCTTAGGTTCACTTAGTCCAGTAATTGTTCATTGTCTGTCCATTTATTTTCTGCTGTCCCTTCTCTGCCCCCAGTAACCACCCTAGACTGTCCTGCCCCAAACACAGACCTTTCCCTAGTTTGTTGATGATCTGTTTGAAATCACTGTGGTCTTGTACAGTGTTTGTCTTTTTGTGACTGACTTCTTTCTTCCGGCATAACACAGGAGGACCTGTTTTTGTAGCAGGAAAAGTCAACAGGTAGGGCAGGAAACATGGAGGGCCTGCCATCGGTCCCTCAGTCAGGATGTGGGAGCGAGGGGTAGACTTCCAGGCAGACCCTGGCGTTTCTGACCACATGCGCAGGCCCTGCCTCTCTCAGAACCGACTCCTAGTAGGTTTTCAGAGGCTTTTGGACTTGAACCACAAGAGACACCCCACCTTTGGGTTAGTGCAACTCCTTACAGACGAGGCCCCCAGAGTTCCCCGGTCCAGGCCCTGGAAGGACCGAGGCGGATGAAGTTTAGACTGAAAACCTTGGTGTCTTAGCAGTCCGTGAAGGGCTGTCCCTGGACGTGGCTGCCCTCTTCCTGAGAGAAGGCCGGTGCTGGGTGTGGGTTTTGGTGTTTTTTTCCCCCCCTTGCTTACAATATGCTGAATCTCTGTGGTGTGGGGCAACTCTCTGAATCTCAGCTTCCTAATCCACTAAACACACAGCCCAAACAGGACCCACACCACTTCTGTAAGCTTGAGAGTTCACAGAATGTTCCTGTGAGCCTTGCCATGCTCCATTCGGTCCCATCAGCCGCGTGGGCTGTTTCCATGGCTGGCTGGCTGGCTGAACAGAAATGATTTAAATGGTTAAAAATTTAGTTTTCCCATCACAGCATTTTATAAGATTTGAACAGCCCCTGTGTGAGACGAGCTTTGCTGTGTGCTTAGCTGGTGAGGTGCTGATGGCTGAGGGGTGAGGGGTTGCACTGCTGGCTCAAAGGGAGGGTCCAGGTCCATCAGCTTCTTCGAGGGACAGTGACAAGCAGTCTCCACCCATGAGATGGACAGCCTCTGAGGAGCCTGCTGGAGGGTCGGCGATGAGTCAGTTCCAGTGTGACAGCACCACACACACACTCTCACTCACATACCCTCTGTCTCTTCTCTCTCCCTCCCTCTCCTTTCTATCTCAGTTCCTGTCTCTCTCCCTGTGTCTGTCTGTCTCTCTCTGTCAGTCTGTGTGTCTCCCTCTGTGCTGTGCACAGTTCTAGGTCGTGAATCTCTCAGGTCATGAATTAAGACAGCCTACTTTTGGAGGGCAGAGTGGCCTATATCATTCGTTTTAGTTCTGATTTCCTAGCTCCATTTCCAAGCACATTTAATATTCGTGTGTTGCAGGAAGTCAGCAGGACAGGACTGGTGCTTCCTGCCTCGCGCTGAGGGGCATTTGGTGACAGCCCACAGGGTGGGGTGTGAGCCCGGGCCACCCGCCTGCCTGACTGGCTTTTCACGGTGTTGTTGTGACCGACTGACACAGCACCACCCAGAAAAACCCTGCTCACACTACAGAAATAACTCAGTGCTGCCTCCTAGCCACGTCACGACAGGAAAAGGAAGAGGTGAAGTTTTAGAAACTGTTGTGCTCAGAACGGGCCAGGTTGTCTAATTTTAGGGAATTTGGTGACCGTTTGTGAGATGGCTTGCATTTTTGCTTTCTTTTAGTTTTGTGCCTAGTCTTCAAAAGCTGGTGCCTTAGATGCTGGCGTGTGTGTTGGTTTGGACTGGCCAGGAGTCTGCGGGATGCTGTCCCGGGCACAGCCATGTCCTGCAGGCGGGGCGGCCTGGGATGTCTGCCTGGGACCTGAGAGAGCTGGACTCTTCATTCTTGTCACCAAATGACCTTCTAACCAGAGAGTGAAAACTGGATGCTCAGATTAAGAAAGCAAATGCTACTTTCTTCCAGACACAATAATCACCCTGCCAGCCTTGATCATGAACTTACTGAGAATTCACGAGCATCTGCTACGAGCACCTGCTATGCACCACGGTTTTTGGTGGTGAGGACAGAGCAGGGTGGACAGAAACGCCTGCCCCCAAGGCTGACATGCCAGGGTGGAAGGAGACGTAGTCAGCAAGGGAGATGAGTGAAAGGCACCGTGTGTACACGTGCACGTGTGCGTGAAGACACATTGGTTAGAGGACACTGAGCTTCTGGTGAAGATGCTGGAAAACCACAATCCACGTACTTGATGTCACTGCATGAGAAGAGCTGGAGATTTTTGCTGTCAGCCTATTTACCACGATTTAAATACTTTCTTTCTTTTTTAAAAAAATTTTATTATTTTGTGTGTGTGTACCATCAAATCGGATCTGACTGATATAGGAAGAG